GATCTACTCGACCACCATTATGGTTACCCCCTTTTAAAAAACCGAGGTAAAAAAAAAAACGGTAACCTGGCTGTCGAGTTCACCAAGTGAATTGGCTTGTTTTACAACGTCGTTGCCAAGCGACGAAAACCCAATCCCGATGGCAAACACCGAGTGGGGGGCTTGTTTTACAACGTCGTTGCCAAGCGACGAAAACCCAAACCCCGATGGCAAACACCGGGGGGGGCGGCTTGTTTTACAACGTCGTTGCCAAGCGACGAAAACCCAACCCCGATGGCAAACACCGGGGGGGGACGATGCGGGGAGGGGGGGGGTGGACTATGGGTTAAGTGAATGTTCATGGCCCATCTGTCCACCCATCATGGTGAGGACGGAGAATGAAGGCCGCGAGACGGAATTCGGCGGCCGTTCACGGACGTGGCACTATGTAGCACAGTCGATGAACCGCCCGGTGGGGGGCGCGAGGGTGTGTAGGTGAATGCCACAACAACCATGAATGTACACTAGTCTAATGCTGTACAGTTGCTCTGATGGACGCCCAATCTGGGTCAACGTGAACCAGACGTTTCATGCCTGATGCCGGATTCGACTGTCAACAAAGGAAAAGATATACGCCATGACCCTGACTATCAAATGCGTTGCATCAACAGTGTCTCGTGCGCCATCGATCGACAGCGTTCCAACGTGTTCTGGACGCCAGAATCAATGTCGTCGCGATTTCTCAATAGCCCTGTGACATTACGCCACCTGATTTTTTTTTCTCTTCTAGAGTCTCTCCCCAGGACTCACAGCGAACAGAGTGTACATGTCCAGCATTCGCACTTGACCAGCGTACTTGGCAACCAACAGTTCGGCCCCGCTGCGAAGGAACAGGGCGACCTGGTCCAAAACGGTTGCGGTTTCCGTACCGGCAATGCCCTGTGCGTGTCGTGGAAAACGCAGCAAGTAGGAATCAGCAGTTAGTTGTTTGAAACGCACCCAGCGCCTGCCGACAGCGGATTCCTAACCCTAACCCCGACGTAGCCGATTCTAGACTAGACTATGCTTTGTTCAGTGTGTTTGCTTACATAGAAAAAGCTGCGTAGACTACCGCTGGCAGCGGCCGTTCTCAACATCGTCTGCGACCTCGAACATCCAGACGGGCACGCAGATAGTTCGAGGCGGCCACCTTACTGTAGTCCGAAAAATAAACGCAAGAATGAAGCCATATCATACTCGTCGCAGCCTTAAGAGGCCGGCGTCGTCCTCCCGTTCATCGTCGGTGCCGCAACGAGTTTAGAAGGAGATGAGCGCACTACTGTACGTAGACTTTGAAAGTATTCGATAAACTCGCCAGCACTCACAGCCAGCCCCTTGGGAGATCCGACGTTGGCGAGGAGGATTCTCCCGGTGACGCCAGCGTCGATCAGCCTGCCGATCCCCTCATCCCAAGCACCGAGCACTTCCTGTAACGCACACGTGAAAAACGTGAGCGTAAGCACACGTTGGAAGAAGGAAGGGATGAGCGGGTTTCGCCAGGGAGCAAAGCTCGACTTCAGCCTGCAGAGGCTTGAGGGGCAGGAATGAGGCTCACACCTCATCACTCGAAGCTCACATCATGCCTACATTGCCGGAGCTCCAGGTTGCAGCTGGAGAACAAACGCTCACAAGGGAAACATTCCCCATACGGTGTGCACGGAAGATTGTTCTCGTGCTCAATGGCAAGCCACGATGAACGAAACTGACGTAGCGCGTGTCGATGTACCAGCAGCGAGTGGCGGCAGCGGCGGTAGCGACCGCCGTGGCACGGCAGTAGCACCACCATCCACCACCACCACCTCCTCAACTACTACAACAAACCGTTCATCTAACTCGAACCTTACTCCTTCGAGCAATCGTCTTGTTGAAATATACATCCATCCTCACCTCGATCATAGGGGCGAAGGTGGGAACTGGGAGGCCGCTTTCATCGAGAACAGGAAACCCGGTGGTGGCGTTAACCTCGAAGACCTTGTCGAAGGCA